TTTGAATTACAAGAACAATCCATTCCTTTCCCCATTGGTTGCCAGCCCTTCCCCAGGGTCACAGAATACTTCTTTTTGATGTTCATATCCTAATTTTAATCCAACTGTATGTTCTGTCAATGGTCTCCAGAGTCTACATCAGACATAATTCTCAAGCAACAGGAAGTGAGGCAATGTGACCAGTTCCGTTCATTAGGACAACCAGCTCTCTACACAGCCTTCCTGACGTGTGTTTGTAATCACGTGGTGTTACCTCTACAGGAGCTTGAGTTGTCTTCCATCTGAAGTGGCCATCGGGGTAGTGCTTGTCCATCGAGCCTGCTTCTGGTTTTGTTGTTATTGTTTTAATCTGGCATCTCAGGAGGCACAGAGTGGTCTACTGAAAAGACAAACAAACTCAGATCAAGAAGTCTAGATTCTTGGCATAGTTCTGCCACCAACAATTTAGGTGACAGAGAGGAATTTACTCCCCATTGACCCGTCTCTCAGAGTGGTCATGAGGAAAAACCAAAGTAATAGTCATCAAAACAAAACACAATGTGCACAGTTGCATAGATCCAAGTGGTAATTTATTGCAGCAATCTCGTGTATATGAACAGAGCAAGTAGTAATATAGTCCATAATGCAAATATAGTCATTCAATAAATGCTTATTAAGCCGGCTGGGGACAACAGCAGGTACTTGGAGAACAAAGAAAGACAGAATACAGTCAGGGAATTTTCCAAGGCTGGTTGGAAAAGAGACACAGGAGTGAATACTTGCAGCAATGATAAGCACTTTCATGGGCATGCGTATAATGTGACGTGGGGTCGCAGAGGAGGAAGCGACACACCCCGCAGAGGAAAGTCAGAAAAAATCAGCAGGTGACACTTGAGCAGTCTTGAAGGATGAAAGAGACAATGTCCAGGCAGATAAGTCAGGAATGAAATCATCACTTACAAAACTCTCCAAGAAGAAAAAGAACACCGCATGTTCAGGCAACCATAAATCCACCAGCATGCGGGCGCGCAACATGTGTGTCAGGAGGTAGCAAGCCTGGAGTCCTGTTCCCCTACTGCGGAATTGACCTCTGGGCAAGGTAAAGCCAGTGACATGCCTACAGCATGGCCGTATCCATCATGGTCCAGGCAAGAAACATTGAAATCAGTCATTTGAGAAGAGTTTACAACAGGATGGTGTTCAAAAGTGTGGACAGGGTGTACGGAAACCACAAGGGGTCCTGTTGCCTTCCTTAGGCTTGGATGGGTGAGAGGAGAAACAGTTATTGAGACTTGTAAGAGAGCCATGTGAGAATCCATCTGATGGGAACAGTGAGCCTCAGCTCATGGATGCTGTGTGCAATGACCTCCAGGGAAGTAGTTAGGGAGAGAAAAGACCCCTCTCACTGCTCCCACCTCTCCCACCTCATCTCACCAGTGGCCCCATTGGCCAAACCCTACCAGAAGCCAGAAGACAAAGGAGCTTTGAAGGAGGAAGGCAGGGTGAAGAAGGATGGCCCTACAGAGACAAACAAAATCGATCTAGCACCAGGCGAGTACACCAGATTGGAATTTCAGGCAGCTCATCAGGCAGCAGTATGGAGAAAGGAAGCCGGAGAGAATAGGGAGAAGTAAAACATAATTCGGATGAGAAATGATGGGAATTTGATAAGGCAGTGGTGGTATTAAGGAAGGGGTACAATAGAGTCAGAGAACATTGAGAGGATATAATCTAAAGAACTTAATTGTCACTAGCTGGCCTCTCTCAGAAGCTCTTCCTCATACATGGATAGCTCCTTGGGCAATAAATAAAACAAGACACAAGAGGTTTCTGGGGGATAGAGGCTGTTCTTTCTGATATTGGAGACTCATCTTTTTGAAGCAGTTCATTTTGGTGATGACACCAATCCTTGGATTTGGAAGCCAAAAACTTATGACAGGCAGTTCCATCCCGGTCAAGTATCTCAGTACCCACCATCTGAGAAAAAACGAGGCCATTGTAGTGGGCTGAGTGGTGGCCTCCTGAAAAATATGTTCATATTCCAGAACCTGTGAATGTAATCTTATTTGGGAAAATGGTCTTTGCAGATGTAACTGAGTTAAGGATTATGAGATGAGCTCATCCTGGATTTTCTGGAGGGCCCTAGTCCAAGGACAAGTGTCCTTATAAGAGACAGAAAAGGAGAACACATGGAGCCATGGGGAGAAGGCTATGTGAAGACAGAGGTAAACACTGAGTTCAACAGCCACGACCCAAGGAACACGTGAAGTTACTAGAAGCTAGAAGAGGAAGCTGGAAAAAGTGATGAAGGATTTCTGGGCATCTCCCCTAGGGCCTTCAGACACCTTGGTTTCGGACTTCCAGCCTCCAGAACTATGAGATAATATATTTCTGTTGTTTAAGCCAGTTTGTGGTGATTTGTCATGGCAGCCCTAGCAGACCAATACGGCAATGAATCCATATTCCAATGGCATAAGGTCTGGGCTATGCACCGGATGAGGCCAAACTTCAACTCCATTTGTTTTCCTGTGAGGAACCTGTCTGGTGAGCTGAAGTAGTAGTGCTGGAAAAGTAAGTTTGACTCAAGCCTGATAACAAAGCTTTAAAATTTTATATTTACACCCCCAGACGTGCAGAACTACACTGTGACATTCGTGGCATGATCAGGCAAAACCACCTCACCTGCAGAAAACTTCTGAGGTTCACCAACACTCCTTATCACCGTGCCCCAAGCCATCTGGCCACACCGTGAATGAATCTTTGGTTCTGTTCACCATTCAGCCCGATGTGCGTCCCTAGCATCAGCGGCCTCCTCCACACTCAAATGTTTGCCCCAGAAGAAAAATACAAGACACTTGCTTACTTGAGGTCACACATTCTGGATGCTGCAGTTGAAATGAAATCTGAATTAAAGACAGGTCATCATAGAAGTCTTGAAACTTGCCTCCGAGTGATATTAGATATATTTATATCAACTCTCACTTTGCCAACTAAGCTTCATCCCTTTATGGGAAAGAACTTGTAAGACAACCTGGTGTCTAAGGGTACAAGAGATTGCTAGAAAATATTCCAACGTGTTGCTTAGGCGCCTGTGCAAATGATGATACCACTAACAAACCAGAGAACCCAGTGGTAAGAGCATGTCTGCTGAGGTGGGACAAGGAGACGGTGGGTACCATTTTAATATGTTGAATGCAAGGTGCCTGAGGCCCACCAGGGCTAGATTTCTGGTAAGCAGTCTGAAATATGTCTGAAGCTTAAGAGTGAAGTTGGAGAGGACATTCCAGATAATTATGTTTTCCCTGGAAAAGCAGAAATTATCTTATCTTTTTGATGTACTTCTTTTTATTTTTTTATTTTATCTTTTTTTAGATTTTATTATCTATTTGAGAAAGAGCACACGAACGAGAGGAGGGTAAGGGGAGAGGCAGAGGGAGAGGGAGAAGCAGACTCCCTGCTGAGCAGGGAGCCTGACGACTCAGGGCTTAATCCAGGAACCCTGTGATCATGACCTAAGCCGAAGGCAGACGCTTAACCGACTGAGCCACCCAGGTGCCTTTTGATGTATTTCTTTTTAAATACCATTACCTCATACCAATATAGAACATAATTTCACTTCTATATAGCTTGGGGTTTGCTCCTTTTTACGGAGAGCAAGATTTCCATTTGAATACACCTTGCCCCCATGCAGACAACAACCCTCATTCCTACATCAGAGTGTACCCTTGTTAGTCTAAACCTATAAGGGGATCTCCATCCTCCTTATTAGAGTTGAAGGTTGGTCATGTGGGCCTATTCTGGCCAATGAGATGGAAGGGCTAAAGCATCCTGGGGAAGCAGGGGCGTAGCTTTTCTGCAAGAAGTAGAGGCAGCCAGTTCTTTCTCACTAACCCCTTCTCTGGACAGAGTAAAGGAACACTAGCACTAAGGCTACTGGCAGTCATTCTGTGCCCATGAGGACAGCCAGCCTGAGAATCCACTCAACACCGCACACACAGAGATGGAGAGAACATGGGTTCTTATGATCATCACTGAGCCACTGGATGGACCTCTTCTGAGTCACTACATGTCCTTATCACAGAGATCACTTCCACAGTTTCTATTAACTGCCAGTATAAGCACCCAAGCCCCCACCAGTGTCTTCTGATGCTTTGTCCCTAAACCACATCACCCCAGACCTCCCCTGGTGAGGCTCCCATCACTCGTCAGTTACGTTTCTCAGTGACAGATGAGAAGGCATGGACAATGCTTAATGCATAATTCTTAACACACTAGGCACTGGGTAAACTTAGTGCCAGTTGCTTTGTCTTACTTCTCAGCTTTGAGCTCTCTCTCTCTCCCAGATCCCCACCATTGTTTTTGAAATGCTCTGTGTGATAAAAAACCAGGTCCCAACCGGCCTTTGGATAGTTGGGTGCTTAGAAGCCTCACTGCCTATGAGGATGTAACTGGAAACTCCATGCCCCAGAAACACCAGCAAATGAGCGACCTTCCTTATTAGACTGCCACCATGGCTAGTCATAGATACTCTTACTTTTCACAGGATTCAAATATGGTGGCAGAGCATGAACACCAACACAATTATAAGCTCTGTGAAATTTGGTTTTCGATCATTCAGAGCCAAGAGGTTTCACATCTGAGTCATCATTGCCAGTATCAGTCCTCATGTTGCAGATGTGCAGAAAGACTGATTAATACAGAATTCTGATTACTTAATGTTCACAGTATTACTAAAGGAGAGCCCAAGAACTCTGGTCAGCAACTTCTTTTGAAAAAGAGACCACTGGATTTCCCCTCCCCTTTACCCTGAATGTCCTGGTTCTCGGATTTGGCCCATGAGCAGTTGCAATAAATCCTCATTTAGAGCCATGTCTCAAACTTTCTTGAGCTACAACACTGCCCTGCAATGCACTCTTCTATAACGCATCTGGAGAAACCTTCCAATAGGTTTTGTTTTTTGGTTTTTTCCTTCTGCTTTTTTGGGTTAAAAGTCACTCAAATTCATGTGAATCTTACAGTAATCTCAGGAGACACTTGGAGATACCTTGAGATAGTGTAAAAACAAATGCTGAAAGTACTAGTTTGAGAACATCAGCCTGGGGGGAAAGCGCCTTCCCCATCTTGCCAGTGACTCACTTTGGTGACTCAGAGCTTGTCACACAAATGCAGAGATCCACAGTGTCTATCTTAGCTCACCGTCCTCTGCCCACCTGGAGGGAAATGAGGGATTCATTACATAAAGTGTACAAAGTGCTTTCAGTCCTTCCAGATACAGTTTATATGAATACAAGGTACTTCCCAGGTGTTAAGGAGCATTCAAATTTAGGGGAGGGAATGGGGGGAAGGAAAGGATACGGGGTGGGATCTTAACTTTCACAAATGTCTTTAACAAAAACTGAATGTCCCCAACAAAGCCAAGACCTAAGACTTCATAAAATGGAGAAGATTCTGATTATTGTTTTAAGTATCAAAATTTGAAATTTCCTGCAAACTTTAAGGAAAAGAAAGAAAAGAAAAGAAAAAATATTGATGTGCCAGTCCAAGCTTCTATTTCATATATATTAAATCCCCTTTTACCCTGGAAGACTGTCAAGTGTCCAGTAATAGTCTAAGATTTACACTTTTATTCCTCTGCCATATAATCACCTCAACTTGGACATTATGCAAATATGTGAAATCTTCAAACATAAAATGAAGCCAAGTTACTCACCGAAGGGAAATCCTATGTTAACCTTCATTACTGCATGCCAAAAATGTCAGGCAAACCCACTCATTTACTAGAACCAAGATAAAACTACCCACCAGTGCTCAGGAGTTCCTTTTCAAGCACATGCAGGGCTAACAAAATACTGAACCTTAAACTCATTTGGAAAATAAGCCTATGAATATCTTCCTTTAGCAAATGCCACTGGGTGACCCCATCTTCAAGTTAAACAGCTGAAACTCAGCTTGCTCCGTTTCCCTTGAGTACTGAGTTCTAAAGGCCACTAGTTTCAATATATTTTGTCAGAAATAACTTTAAGGCTTTAAGGCTTTCCTGAACAGTCACCAAAGCCCTGGTAACAATGTAGTCATTTTAAATTAACATCCTAACTTAAAATAAGTAAACCTGATTTTCGTTTGTGATCAAAATTTATATTGGAACACCTCTGTGGAGGTTAAATCTAGTGCCTTCACCCCAGACAGGGCATTTACTAACAACCAAGAATTGGAACAGAAGGTTTAAGTCCAGATGCCAAAAAACCAAACCTGTTTCTGAAAAGAAAACAGTGTATCTACATTGTCAATCACTCAGAGTTAAACTTACGCCTCCATTAGTCAAAAGAACCAATGGGTAAGTCTTCCTCTTTCGAAAGGTTTTCTTTTCCTGCAAACATCTGCTAAAAGTAGCAACCTGGAAGAAAAATATAAAAAGAGAGAAAATACTATGCGATGGCCAAAAACTAGAAGGGATCAAAATGTCCTTCAATAGGTAAATGTACATCTATGTCATGGAATACTACTCAGGAATAAAAAGGAATCAACTATTAATACACACAACAACTGGGGTGGACTTCAAGGGCATTTTGCTGAATGAGAAAAAAAAGCAAGTCTCAGTAGGTCATGTACTATACAAGGTAAGTTAGATAATATTCTAAATGGCCAAATCACAGAATTGGGGAACAGACTAGTGGTTGTCATGGGGTTGGAGATAGTGGGTGAGTATGATTATAAGCAGGTAGCATGAAGGAGATCTCTGTGGTGATAGAAGAGCTCTGCATGTTGATGGGTACTGGATCTACACATGTGATAGAATGGCATAGAACTTCTCACACGCGTTGTACCAATGTCAATTTCTTGGTTCTGATGTAGTACTCTAATTATGTGACCATGGGGGAGACTTGGTGAAGGGTGCAGGGGACCAGTCGGGGCTATCCTTGCTCTCATTGTAACTTTTGACACATCTATAATTATTCAAAATTTTAAAAAATAAAGAAAAAGAAAAAAAAAAAGAATGTGAAAAGAAGTAAAAGAAAGGAGGAAAAAGAAACAACTTGGAGTGAATACTGGCAACTCCAGAGATGAAAGGTGACAGGGAAGATCTGGAAGAAGGGCCAGACAGCAAGAGTAAACAGTAGAGGTTACGGTCAGGCAGGTTGACAACAAGAAACTGGCTGGATAGTTAGTTGCAAATGAACTCAGTGGCCAGAGAAGGGGAAAGATCACTGAACTGTTACCCTTGAATGACAAGGATAGAAATGAGGGAACAAGAGCACGTGGAGTCATTGTGGTGGCAATGGCAACAGGAAGGTCTGGTGGGGAGGGAATGGGATGCACGGGGTGGAGATAGATGTAACAGTGGATATTCCTTAGGATGTGACATACAGCAAATGAAAGAATGACGAGGGAAAATGCCTGACCTAGAAAGAAATATTGGAAAGGAAGACGAGCCATAGAAACCAGTAAGCTGAAAGAGAAGGGGCAATATTCTTGGGCTTGAGCAGAATCACCAACCACAGAACGATGAGGTGGTCAAAGAATATCACAGGAAGATGAGTCAGAAGGAGAAGAATGACAGGAACCAGGTCTTTGAGAGGGAGACAAATGACGAGCAGCAAAATGCAATGGCCTCTGAGAAGGTGTTCCTTACACGGGTCTGAAACCCAACAACATATCCCGAACTTCCCAAGTTTATTTTAACAAACATCTTTGATAGCCTGGTACATATCAAGTCAAGCATGATTTTCACATCAGAAAATATGACCTTAATGAGTGCCGTTCACGTACAAGTAACACAAAACTGCAGGAGGGTGAATTGCCGTAGGGGAGGAAAGAGTTCACAAGACAGCTTGTGAGCAAACATCATGGAGTCCCCTCGGGCCTGATGCAGGAGACTCTTCAGTGTCTCCAAGAGCATAAACAACCAGTAATATTAAAATCTGAAAACTAAAACAGATCTAAGAATCTGATTCTCAGATCTTAGAACCTGAGATTTAGTGTGGTCATAAAGGAATTCTTACCACACGAGGAAAGCCGCAGTTCATGATCCTCCTGAGAGACACTGGGGAAATTCCAACAAGGGTAGCCCCTAAAAAAAGAGAAGGAAGAAAGATGGTTGGCCACTCCCCGTGGTTGGAGAAATTACAAAACAAACAATCAATCAGTTTCTCTCTCAGCTGCTGGGGAAAATATCAACTCAGAATTCTTTGCAAACATTCACTCAAAAGTGGAGAAAGAATCAATGTCATCCTCTAAAAGTGATGGGACAGGAAGCCATTTATCTCCATGGCCACCAAGCCCAACCTCTAGCTTTGGAGAAAAAGTCAGCAAGTAACCTAAAAATTAAGAAACCCAAAGCATATGGTAACATTGCCAGATATCATTCTCTGATAAATTATGTTCCATTGGCACTACAAGAATAATCATCATTTTCCTTAGCAGTTTTACGTGAATCCCTTGCAAGAAGCAAAGATGTGCATTTTAAGGAGGAATGCTCTGATAAAAGCTAATCTAAACCTGAGTGCCCAGGGCCTGTGGGTGGCTAATGCCAAGGATTGAGAGAGGTGAGAAACTGCAAAAGAATCATGAGTGGTGGGGGAGAGGGAGAAATCACTAACACGTGGACTTTGAGAAACTACTCTGTAGAAAGGCCAACAGATGAGAATAAAATTGAGAAGGGGCATCTCAACAACAAACTGAGACGTGAAGTTTGAGCACTGTGAGATGTAAATCCTCTCTTCAGTTTTCCTTATAAAATCTTCAGTACAGCTTATCTTGACAAGCCCTGAGAAATGTATAGAATTGTCAAATCACTCCATTTTACACCCAAAACAAATATAACATGTTAACTATGCTGGAATTAAAATTTTAAAATTAAAAAATAAAGGGGCACCTAGCTGGATCAGTCAGTGGAGCATGTGACTCTTGATCTCAGGGTCATGAGTCCGAGCCCCATGTTGGGTGTAAAGGTTACTTAAAAACAAAATCTTTTAAAAAATAAAAATTAAAAAAATCAAAAATAATAAAAAATAGAATAGACTAAAGCCTCCAGTACAATCTGCGTTGTGGAGTGAATTCTCATTGAGGGAAACACACAGAAGTGCAGAGCCGTGCTTCAAGGTCAGCACAAGGGCAAAAGCGTAGGTTGCCGTTAGCTTTTTATTAGCTACTCATTATTTAAGTTAAGAAGAACCTGAGGACACAAAGCCCAAGGGAAGGAAAGAGAGGAGGGGAGATTGTAGGTTGGATCCCTTCTTCTTTTACTAAGTTTTTAAATTCTTGAGTCACTTAATCTTTCTTGGTTTCCAAGCAGGCTCTGTGGGAGAAGTGTGATCACCTAGGGTTTCTAACGTGGGTCTGGTCTCATTCATTCCCTCCACAGCTTCAAGTGGCTTTAAGGATCACAAAGATCCTTTTCAGCTCTGATAGCCTTTTCCTCTCCCGGAATCTCAAAAGCCTCCCCATCCTCCCCAGAAACAAATCTAGATGTCTTTGAAAAGATCACACATACTTGCGTTGTTCTGTTGCTGCTGCTTTCTATGGGTTGCCATCAGATTAGAGTTCTTCTTTTTGTAAAATATGATGGTTAACTATTTTACCAAATAACCAGGTAATCTCTTTACCACTGCCCTTTTTTTTTTTCCAAAAGGGTTGGCCATCCTAGAAAGTGAAAAGATGGAAGGGAGTCTATGTCTTTATCCCTTCGCAAATCATATCACAGAAGCAGACGTGATTATGCTGAATCCAGACCATGAGTTTCTTTTTGTACCAAACAGTAAAATAAAGAACGATGCATGCACGTGAAAGCAAGAGATGATCTCTGTGGTTTCCTCATCAAGCACATCTGTGAAACTGAAGAGGCGGTTTGCTGAGTAGCTTTGTGGCAGGGAGACAGCAGTTTAGGCAGTGTCTCAGGACAAGTCTTGGAGCAAGAAAGACCTGTTCTCCAGTCCTGGCACTGCTCTTGCTGCTGGATACTCAATAAGGTTTCTTCACGACTTGAAAAGTCATTAAAAATAAGAATGAAGTTTGCCTTGCAGAAACAGAGACAAAAATATGAAGCATATCATTCCTTATTCCCAACCACACAAATATTAATTGATATAGAAAAAAATGAATGACACATGAATCTCCAGCTCATCTACTTTTTCTCTCAGTCACTTTTTTTAATGTTGTCCTCTCTCTGCCCCAATTCTGCCTCTTGTTTTTTCCATCCTTCCCTCCCCTGGTGTATAATTATTCATCCAGTTCTCAGAAGAAACAGAGCAATCATAATTTGCTCCAATAATCATGAATGCTCAAGGCTCCCTAAGCCACCTGATGCTAGGTGATGGGACAAGGAGGGATGACAGCCAGGTGTAACCCAGCGTGGATACTTAGGCATGGGCAGCCCATCAGAGCAGATCATTTTTTCCCACTTATCAGAGGGGCCTTATTCTCTTCATTCTCCCACCCAACACCTCCAAAACAGTCTTAGTAAAATATCTTTCATCACGCACTCCCTACTCAAAAACTTGTCACTCATCCAATCCACAAATACCTGTTGATTGTCTCCCCCAGATTCTCCACGATTGTCAATCAAGATGATATTTACTTTACCTCAGCAATTAAAGACTAAGGCAGGTGCTGTGCCCACAGGGCTCCTTGCATGTCAGAGAATGTTCTTCTCTAGTCTCTCTGGCCTTCCCCCGAGCAGTGAAGCAGAAGCCTTGCTTGCAAGAAGCCATCACAAAAGGTTATAGATAAAGAAAACTGCTAGAAACATTTTTAAGACTCTTTTGCTTTTCTATAATTCTTGAGCCAAACTTTTTGCACTAACACTAAAGTCTCTCTCTGGCCTGTGGCCATTCCTCTCCTGTTCTATTTTCTCACCAGATCTGACACTGTTTTGCATCTCCCACAGCTGTGAACACAGCACTTTGCAAATACTTCAGCTCAATGTAGACATACTGTCTTGATTTGATTTCTCCTAGGATCTCAGTAACTCGATTGGCTAGGTTCTTAAGCCTTTGACTCACCTGATGGGTAGGGTTGCCAGATTTGGAAAACAAAACAAACCAGGATGCTCAGTTAAATTTGAATTTCAGATAAATGATGAAAATTTGTATATGTTCTAGGCAATATTTGGAGCATATTTATACTAAAAAAATCATCACTTATCTGAAATTCAAATATAACTTGGGCATCCTACGATTTATCTGGAAACCCTACTGGTGTGTCACCCAAAACTGAGCAAGGGAATATTCCATATAATCAGTTGGTGAAGCTTGGACAACAGAGATGGCTTCTGTGCAGCAAAACTCTGATAATCTCTGACTACAGAAACGACAGAAGGAGAAGGGAGGATATCCCAACGCTGGCAACTTAGCCTATATGAATAATCTGTCTGGCAAAGGAGGGCTTTGTTGCATTCTGAGTCAAAGTGGCCAATGGTATTTTAAGTGATCATGCAAGGTGGCGAGGCAGGGAGGTGTGGAGGCAGAAAGTATTGCAAAAGAGTGGTGTACAGCAACCACTGCCCTTCTAAGAAACTGAATTCCACCACACGGGTCCCCTCTGGCCCTGCCTCGTAAACATGTCCTAAATCAAGGGCTAGTGGAGGCAGGGAGTGGAGTGGAGTGGGCTCCCTGGTAAGTCATCACCGCCCACTAAGCCACCCCACTCCCCAGAGTCACAGCCTTGGGTATTTTCAGACAACAACAACAAAAAATAAATACGCATGCCCAGAAGTCAGGAGCACCTCCAGAAATTCGGGGCAAATCCCACAGTATCCAAGAGAGCTGGCAGCCCATTTTCTACCTAGGGAATAAGGGTACTTTTTCCTTTGTAATATGATTTCTTGGCTGGAGTGGAACCATGAGGCACCCTGAGACGCTCTGTAGAAATGCAAGATGATATTGTATTGTATTAATGTCACTTAATGGTAACTGTCAATGATAGTGATGGAATAAATATGGAAAAGGAAATTACTGTAATTGATTGACAGTCTGGAATCTTCGATATTCGACCTAATGAGAGAAACCTATGAGCAGCCACTTCCAGTGCAGGCTGCTATTAATGCAAATTGTATGCACCACACTGGCATGCTGAATTATGCAATGCCGTGTGAATGTCTAATCCATTTCACCAGGCTTGTCTTTATCCAGAAAAAAAATATTTCACTGACATGCTGATTAGTATATTAGGAGAGTTTAAGAAGTTTGGTGCTAAAGTAGGTGCCATCGTGGTGTTATTAATTTAGTTCTGAACAAGACAAACAGCTCTGTGCAGCCATCAAAATCACCACATAAGTCTACAAGATAACTTTGTCAAGACTGATGGGAATTTACAGAAAAGTCTTGTGATATGTGGAAGGAATTAGCAAATAGATAAGGAGCACATCATTTTTCTAGAAAACCACTGTCAAGGACTCAGTACCCATGCAGAACCAGACACCTGCCAAGACATCTACAATGTCTGCATGATCGCTTGCTCAGACGTTCAGAAACTTGTGGAAACTTAGAACAGAACCAGCTGTGGGAGGTCAAGGGAACAACAGGTACAAATCAGGTTTAGGGCCTCCTCTGGGGATTCTATGGAGATTTAAGTACTGCCCAGGCATGATCAACAACAACAAAACACTCCCTATGGGAATATAGTTTATATGGGAAGAAGTCTGTTGTGATAGAAAAGTACATTGCCAATTACCCATTACTTACACATTCCAAGAACTCATAGCTTTGAGAATGCCCTTGCCCTAAGCTCTTTCTTCTGTATGGATCAACTCTTAAAACTTGGACCAATAGAGGAAGTGCCTAATTATGTCTCCCAGAGCTTCCTACCTGGAGGCTCACAGATACCCCAAATGTCCCCATGTTTTAAAGCACAGGGATGGAAGAAAAAGAAAATGCCATGCATTGCAATTTTCCACTAGTGGTCTCGAGATACTCTTAGGTCAGTATATAGATGAACTCTTTACCTAATTGCACAAAATGTTTTTGAATACCTTTTAGGTACCAGGTACTATCTGCATAGCCTGGACGTACAAACACTGTTCTTGGCCACGTGGTGCTTACAGTCGAGGAGAGGAGGCACATAGGTGGTAGTGATTACCAGCGGGTGGGAAGATTGTCACAAAGGAGCAAACAGGTGTATGCAACAAGAGGGTGGACTCAGTCTGGGGGTGGGGGTGGGCTGGAGAAGGTGTTATTGAGGAAGGGGTGCTTAAGCTAGGACTCCTCAAATGTTTTTATTCTTTTAATGTCAACGAACATGTCCTGATACAACATGTGTTGGAGAAAATACACTTGACAAACTTATAATCTGGTTGTCTTTCTGTATATACAGATGCCCATTTTTCCTTTTCAAGGAAACCAATTTAAATTGAAACATGAGCCAGCCAAGTTAAAGACAATATTAAGTAAATAAGAGTGCAATTGGTACTCAAGTATTCCACAAATTGTGAATTTGGGACACAATTGACTGAAGTCTGGGAAGTCTGTGTGAGGGAAAGGTGACGAGAAAGGTGAGGGGCTTCCTGGGAGGGAAGGGTCTCGGGCAAGAGTTGAAATAACAAAACGAAGGAACAGGAAAGTAAGACAGAAAGTTCTTTCAGTGTGCTTTCCCATATTTTATTGCATTCTTTCACCGATCACCAGTCCCCTGTGGTGTAATGTATTCCGTCAAATTTTCTGTAGAATAATTGAGGCCCTTCCAAGGTTAAGTAAAACACTAGAGGTCACCCAGCAAATTAGCAGCAGAGGTTGTGTTACAACGCGGGCCATCTCTCACCCCGTTGAGAACAACATCTCTCACCTCCAAAGTTCTGAGTGTGGAGCAAGATGGAAAGGAACTTTATATAAAGCAAACTAAGTAAAACAGAGGTCTTCTAAGAGGAAAATAAAGGCTGCAAATGGCTTAGAAACATAAACAGTGTTTTCATGATTAGATGTTCCTTTGAAATGATTCTGTTTCAAGGTCCTTGTAGAAGCTCGTGGAATATTGTATATCTTTTCAAGGAAGAGGTAAGCCTCTAAAGAGCAAGGATGGCCATGCTGGGGAAGGCTAGGTCCCATTCAGTCCAGTTCTGGCTCTCACAGAGATATGAAAGGGCATTCCATGGAAGGTGGTCTTGTCCTTTTCAATGTCAACTTTATAGCTGGGTTTTCCCCACGTAGGTCCCAATTATCTTAATAACCCATGTAAAGGCAACATGTCAAGCATCACGCATGAGCTCCTCTGAAACCCTAGAGGAATGAGTTCTATTTTCCAGGCTCCACCATTCTGGGGATAATGAACTCCACAAGCTTATTCCTTCCTGTACAAAGAAGAAGAAAGGCTGCTCCAGCCATGACTCTTCCAGGAACCTGTGCACTCTTGTTTCATGGTCGGAGAACAGTCTGGAAAGTCCCACTGCTGTTAAATTCTCTGCCCTACCAGTGCCTTCTCACCTCTCCCACCACACTTCACGGACTCCCACCCACTTCTCTGCCCTATCCCTTCCCATTTCTTCTTTCCTCTCTTCAGGATCCCTAGGCTTTCATGGATTTCGAGCTTCAGGGCTCATTCAGCCAACATTTAAGTGTGAGCACCATCTACGTGCCAGGATCTGCTCTACG